ATGTGTGTTTAGATCACTGCGACAAATAGTACTTTTGGCAATTAAATTTTTTGTCTCCAAAAGTCATGTTTTAGTCGGCGAAGATTTTTAGTGACTAAAAGTTTTGGTCACGAGGTTAGTCGGTGAACAATTGTCGGGAAAGGTTATTAGGGACTAAAAAAAGTTTAGTCGCCAAAAGTAATAAATTGCCGACCATTTTTTTAGTCGCCAAAAGCATTAAAGTAATTTATGTATAACATTTTCAGTGACCAAAATTTGTTGTTGCCAAAACTTGAGAATTATTTTTAACGACTAAAATTGTAGTCGTCAAATAATTTTTTTTTTTCTTTCATGTTATTGTTTTTAGCTATTAAATATTTTAGTTGCCGAAGTTTGATTTTTTTTCGCTGCTAAACTTTTAATCACAGAAAATCTATTTTTTTTTTGCCCACTAAACTTTTAGTTGCAAAAAATGACTTGTTGTTCAAGTTATTTTTGTTTCGCTACTAAATAATTTAGTCACCTAATGTTTGATATTTTTCAGCTACTAAACTTTTAGTAGCCTAAAGTGTCACTTGTTTTTACCTACTAAACCTTTAGTTGCCAAAATATTTTTGTTGTTTGTTTTCAATTTTATAGCTACTAAACATTTTAGTCGCCTAAAGTGTGATTTGTTTTTTGGCTACTAAACTATCAGTCATCAATTTTTTTTTTAGCCACTAACTATTTAGTCGCTAAATTATATATTTCCTTTTGGCCTACAAATTGTTTAGTCACCAAAAACATAATTTTATGTTTTTTCTCCAAATTCTAATTTGTTTGCAACCTATATGTATTTCGTGCAACCTATATTATGTATATGAACAAAGCAATACATATATTATCAATCATTCCACAATAGTTCTGCATCCATTTCACTTCCTACCATCCAAAAATGTATAACTGTGAATGTAAAATTCCATAGAAACCGTAGTCCAACTTGTACTATATAGTCCAAACTAAAATAACAATTTCATACAAAACATAACAATTAAGTTACAAAAATCAAGCCCTCTATGTACAAAAAAAATATATGTACTACCATGCGAAATAGCCATTGGCGTGGTACAAATTACCATCGTAATCTATACCCCGACAAAAGAAAATCTATATACCACACCAGTAATTGTAAAGTCGAAGCCAAAAAATATCTGTACGAGTAATAATAATCCACAGAAAAGCAGAAGATGACAAAATTATTAGGATTATGCAAAAGTCGAAATTGTCCTCCATACACAAAAAGAGTATCCACAAGTCCACGCCAAAAGCCATCTAGAAAAAAAATTGCACACATTAGTATTCAAAAATGCATGCTTCAATGTATCTGAGAGGGTAATTTTTGGGAAAAATTGGGCCGAGCTGAGAGTCTTGGTCAATAGGATTATACGAGGAGAATTATTTCCTCCCCGTACAGTATCTATGTATTCATTTTTTTTTAAACTAATAGTAATGCATTACTGATAGCCTTTTGGTGATGATTGTGATCTGTCCCGTGTACAATTTTTGTGTTTTTAATTTTTTTACTTAATTTCAATCCAGTTCCATGAACTGTAGAAGACATATTCATGGAGTTGCTACTTTATTGTTTCATCACTTTTCTTTTCTTCTTCTCATGGAAAACAACTTCAGCATTTGATGATGTCGTCATATCAAGAAAAAAGGTACTGTATTCATGCAGTTGGACTGAAAGTTACATGGAAGAATTTTAGAATTAGTCCCTTGCATTTCAATTGATTGGTGATCAACAATGACAGATTTTGCTACCATATCTGTAATGTTCAAATTCTCATATATGGTCGGATTCAGCTTTGGTGGACAAGTTTTTGTAATGTTCAAATTCTCATATCATAACTCATCCATGAAGTGGTTGTCTGAAATCATCCATGAATTGGTGGACAAGTTTTTCTTATTCTGTTGAAGAAGCCTTTGATAAGTAATAAGAGGTTGAGTTTTTTGTTGAGTAAAAACTAGGCGAATTACACTAATAGTCCCTATAATTTGGGACTTATGTCACTTTGGTATCTGACTTTTTAATTGGGACATATTTGATCTTGAATTTTGAATCTTGTTCCAAATAAGGACAATTAAAGATACCATTACTTAATTTTAAGGGTAAAATCGTCAATTTGATAAAATATAAACTAATTTGACAAAAATAAATGTCAATTTTAAAAAAAAAAATTAAAATTATTTCTATCCACCAAAGATAAAATTATGTAAAATTGATAAACTTTTAGAAAAATTTTTTTACCAAATTAATTTTTAGGGTAAATTACACTAACACCCCTTGAGGTTTGGTCTGATTATATTCTATCCCCTGACGTTATAGAAATTACATTCTCACCTTTGTGGTTAATAGTCTCATTTCACAAACCCTCTTACTTATATAAAAGGCAAGAACTCCTAGTAGAAAAATAGAAGAAATTATATTAAAAAAAAAAAGGAAAGGAAAGGAAAAGAAACAAGAAAAAAAGATAGATGAAGTAAAGCAAAATAAGAAAAGAGAGAGCGTATAAATTAAATATTTTTTTGATACCAACGTTAATTCCGTCTAAATAATTACAATTACAGGGGGTCATGAGTGTAATTTCCCAAATGTCAAGGGATGATATATATTAAGCCCAAATCTCAAGGGGTGTAATTATAATTTACCCTAATTTTTATTAGTATGTGTTTGGATGATAATCAAGTAATGAGTGGTTGTTAGGATTTTAATGTGTAATTGATATATTTAATATATGAAATATTTCTAGATTTAAATTTTTGATTTAATGGATTGGTTTAATAATAATATCAAAGTTGTCGCCATATTTGACTTTTGAAAAAATAGAAATTAATGTAATAAAAATAAAAATAATCACCCATTACATGATTATCATCCAAACACATGATAAAAATTAATTTGGTAAAGTAAATAAATGTCAAATTTTTTTTTATCTCTATCAAACCAAAATCTGATTCTAGTACCATTCCCAACCTTGAAGCCACATTTGCCCACAAAGAAATTGAAGATAGGCCTATTGACATTTATTTTTGTCAAATTAGTTTATATTTTATCAAATTGACGATTTTGTCCTTAAAATTAAGCAATGGTATCTTCAATTGTCCTTATTTGGAACCAGATTCAAAATTTAGGACCAAATGTGCTACAATTGAAAAGCCAGGGATCAAAATAACACAAGTCCCAAACTATTGGGATTGTTATTGTAATTCGGCCTAAAAACTAAATACACGACTTAGTAAGCGTGTCTGAGGGGGCGGGCGCCAATATTAATTCCTTTCCCTCTGAAAAAACTTCTACATTTAGCGACTAAACTACACTTTTGTCAAAAAGGAGATGTAAGTCCGCAACAAAACCTTTTGTAGCCAAAGAATTTTTAATGGCGACTAACACTTTCGTAGCCAAAAGTATCATTTGGCTATTATTATTTTTTTTTGGTCGGCAAACACTTATTATACAATGACTACATTTTTTTGGTCACGAAAAGCTTATATTTGGCGTATATTTGGCGACGTAATGTTTTGGACGACAAAGAATAACCCAAAAAATATGCCTGGTCTTTGGCGACTAAACTTTCTTTTGTCGGTAAATAATTGTATACGACGACCAAATTAAGGAGTTGTTTGGGGTGTCCTAAATAAATGCACTTTTTGTCTTTTTGGACTAAAAAATTGAAGAAAAAAATATGGATGTTTGGGTTAACTTTTTGACTTTTTATGAAAAAATGTGCATTAAAAAATTGTATGAATTAGTATGTAGGGAAAAATTAGGATTGAGAGTTGTGCAGACGTAATTTTTGACTTTTGGTGAATAGTGATAATTTTTTAACTTTTTTAGTAACTTTTTGACTTTTTAATTTTTTTACAATATGCCAAACTTGGCCTAAATTTTTTGTAGCCTAAAATATAGACTATCGCTAACTAACAAGTTTTTAGTCGCCTATTACTTAATATTTAGCTAGTAATTTTTTTTTAGTTGCCAATAAATAACATATCACGACTAAATTAATATAGCAGCTAAACCTTGACCCAAGGTCGACTAATATATTTTTTAGTTGTAAAAAATGACACATTCGGCAACTAAATTTATTTTGGTCGCCAAATTTACTTGCCAAATGTGTAATTTTTTGTAGTGGATATACTAAATTCATTTTTGTAACACTTGGTGCGGTAGACACTATGGGAAAAAAATACTTTTAGTGACGTATATGTTTGTCACCAAAAGTGGAATTTTTGTTGCTAAAGGTATTAGAAATGATTAAAAAAAAAAAAAACCTGTCACAGAATGATTCGGAGACCAAATAAATTATGGTCGCCTTATAAAAGAATCAACGACCTAATATTGTAGTCTCCAATCACCAAAAAATCGTCGCCATAAATTAGCATTTCGTCTCTAAAAGTAGCCTTAAGCAGATGACTGGTCAAGTTCAGCGACATATAAACTCATCGCCAAAGTATCATTCTCAAGTCATTCTATTTTGATAATAAAACAGTAAAATGATAGTAGGCACTTTGTTCCATTCAACTTTATACTTCACTTTCACCATCTTACTTCATTTCATTTCGTTCTTAGTTTATGTCATTTCATTCAACCTTGTGTTTAATTCTCACTCTCATTTAATTTTTATTTCATTCTATTCTCGCATTAGTCTTAGGGTTAAAAGGTGTCTAATTAAAGTCTTCTCATTTATAGCCTGAAAATTAAATTTCACATTTTAGTTGGAGTGGTTAAGGTAAAATTTGACATTGCAATTTACCCACACAAAAATTAAGCAAATAAATGAAGAAATTTTTTTTTTGACAAGAGTTACGATAGAATTAAAGAAAGCTCCAAATCCACCGCTAAGGGGCTGTGGCCACCCTGTCTCCTTTTTGAGATGTCCCTTTCTCATCTTAAACACATTAATGTATACCTCTTCTATGTAGGGCCTGAAAGCTAGGTAGATCTTTCTATTAACTCCTCCATTTCTCTCTCTCTCTCTCTCTCTCTCTCTCTCTGTATCCATTTTCTTCTCCCTTCTTACTCCTCATTTTAGAGAGAGAGACAGAGAAAGAGACTAGAAGACTAATGCTAAGACTTGAATTTTTGGTTGTACAACATTTAAACTATTTTCTTATCTTTCCATCCCGCCCCACAACTTGCATCATCACCCTCAAAAAAGCACAATAACTCCTCGAGTATAAAGAGGGGAGGCCAAGGCTAAAGAGGATTTGATGACCTTGTTTACAACAATTAGTCATTAGTAGGTTTATGGCAATTGCAGCAACAACCATGAGCCAAGATGATAATAGCAAGGATGATCATGATCAACATGACCATGACATGGTCATGCCTGGTTTTCGTTTCCACCCTACCGAGGAAGAACTCATCGAGTTCTACCTTCGCCGTAAGGTAGAGGGCAAGCGTTTCAATGTCGAACTCATCACTTTCCTCGATCTCTATCGCTATGACCCCTGGGAACTTCCCGGTATCCTTCTTTTAGTACCTTTTTTTTAATTGGCAAAATGAAATTCTATTAACTCTATTGGAAATTTAATTCTTTTAATATCAATACAATACCATCAAATTCAATTATGTATGATCATTTTTGGTTTTTGTTGCTGTAAATTTCTAAGTGGTTTCATTGACTTCAGCCTTGGCAGCAATTGGGGAGAAGGAATGGTTCTTCTACGTGCCTAGAGACCGAAAGTATCGAAACGGTGATCGGCCTAATCGTGTAACAACTTCCGGGTATTGGAAAGCTACCGGAGCTGATAGAATGATCCGGTCTGAGAATTTCCGGTCAATTGGGCTGAAGAAGACACTTGTTTTCTACTCCGGGAAGGCTCCAAAAGGCATCCGAACTAGTTGGATCATGAACGAATACCGCCTGCCACATCATGAAACCGAAAGATTACAAAAGGTACACATGCCTTAATTCATTGAACTTTAGACCTACAAAAACAACAAAGAAAGACATTATTTTAAAAGGAAAAATTGAAAGGGAAGAGACTCAGGGACACTTCTTTTAACTCATTCAGAAGAGAATAGTATGATTTGATTGCATAAAAAAATAAAAATAAAAATTGGAGAATTGGTTTCAATAGCTATCGTTTTACTATAGACTTGGTTCTTAAGAACTCCAAGATGGTTTTACGGTATCAATGAATAGTAGCAAACCATCATACAAGCAAGAAAAGAATTGAGATAAGGACTAGAGAAAAAGAATATCAAGAAATGCAATGAGAATTGAGAGCAACATTCAAATTTGTCTTCTATTTTGTTGGATTCTTTAACCTTTATCACAGAAAATGAGAGCAACATTCATGAACTTTAAATTCTGTGAGCCATAAAGATCTTTTTGCTTTAAAAACTACATGATTCTTCTCATAACTGCAAAACAACTCTAAGTCCCTTATTTTATGTGATATTTTTTCTTTGAACACTCTCTTTGTTTCCTTTTTGTTCTTTAGGCAGAAATTTCACTTTGTCGCGTCTACAAGAGAGCCGGTGTGGAAGACCATCCATCGCTCCCACGTTCACTCCCGACAAAGGCATCCTCATCAAGGACCACACAATCGGACAAAAAACAACACTGCGCAACCAATCAAACTTCAATAGAGAGATTCCAAGCTTTTGTAGGACACTCTCAGGTAGAAGACACCGAAAAAATGAGTGAAACGAGTGGTGGTAGTTGCAGTGGTAGTGGTAGCGGAGACATTGGAACAGCATTAGGGCTATCAAAGCAAAACTCATACATTGCATTAGCATCACTGGCTTCACCGCCAGTGGCACCACCACCAGCTCGGGTGGAAGATGATAGGGTTTTGATATCTAAACAAGCTTGCCCTTTAGTCCAAAATTGCTCCACAGTGTTTACAGGCACTTCTTTATTGCCACAAAACCCAGTTGATGATTTCCATAGGCTACTAAACTTTCAACAATCTTCAATTAGTCAGTATCACACTCATCATCAATACCATGCCTCTCAGTTCTCCACTTTTCAGCCACAATCACAGTCACTGCCTCCTTTCAACATGCTGCCTGGGCCGGTCTCTCTTCCTGCCACCACCGCCGCTGCCTTCTCTGACAGACTGTGGGAGTGGAACTCAATCACAGAGGGGAACAAAGACTACACCAGCCCTTTCAAGTAATCTATATATGAACTGCACATTACACAACATAGGATCATGGTTTTAAATATCAATCATTACATATCGTATTGCCGTTACATATCAGAATTTTAGATTTCAGATACCACTATTTATCGATATATCGGTCAATACTCCCTGATATTGGCCAACATATCACAATAACGCCATTAATATATATCCAGATATTGTTATCTAAAATCATGCATAGGATACATCTATATATAATGCTGATTTATTAAGTTTTCAACTCTACTCTAATGTTGGTATAGGATTCATAAGTTGCTGATGCGGGTCAATGTTTGTTAGTTGGTTTTATTAGGGTTTAGGGTTTAAATGAGATTATTTAAATCCTTGCAGTAACATTTTGTTCTTTAACTTTGTTTTGAATCAAATGGGTTTATATTGTCTGTTTATGTAGTTCATTTCAATCTCAAGTTTTAGGAATTGGAAGAGTTCAATGAGAAGGACCTGAAATCCAATGGGGGCATCTTGTTTAATTTACTCATAATTGATATCTGCTTTTTAGCCTAAAAAGTTGTGTTGGAACTCCAAGGATTGGTCACAAAACAAAACAAGAAGGTTTGGACCAATGGTGTTAAAGAGATATCTCAAGTTCTATTTTCTATTGAATGATTTTAGGAACACAGAAACAAGATGCCGAATGTGGGGAATGGATAACATTTTTTAAAAGTAAATTTCTCAATAAATTCTATAAAATTTTATATATTCATATATGTTTTGTGTTTGTTTTCTGTAATCATAAAAAAATTGTTCCCTATTTTCTCTTGAGGTCACCCACAATAATGCATGGTAACTATTTGGGGTATATAAAACGAACTGCATGTATCTTTCCAAATCTAGTTGGGGCAATATGCAGACACTTATGATAAAAGGAAAACTAGGAATTCTCGTAACACCATGTAACATTGTCTGTGCGATAATTCTAACAAATGAGAAATCACAAGACACAGTAATTTTTTTTAAATTTTTTTTTTGAACAATCAAAACACAGTAATTGAATCACCTAACATAGATACGTCTGTAAGTATTGCCAGTAAACAACGTCACATATATTTCAAAACTATCCAACAATTATCCACAATGCAGAAAGGAAAAAAATTAAAAAGTAAGAAAGTAGTGGCAGGGAGGGAAATGGATTTTTTAAGGAAGTGAGGGACATGTATCACTGTGTTACAGTTAGCCATGAGAATGATAACACCAAGATTGATCCCACAGAATGCACATGCTGAGACAAAAGCTTAGCTCAGTGAGTGTTGGAGAGAAGAGAAGGGTAGGGTATTGGTATTGGACACATCATTCCACCACCACAAGCCAAACATTCACAAGGATGATACAGAAAAATATTTGTCTCATTTTTTCTTAGAGTTTTGTTTGGTGGGGTAGGGACTAAGACTTCCCAACCCAAAAAAGTAAAAACACAAATGTCATTGATATATCACTGTGGGAAAAATCGTAGGAACCACTTTTAAGGATTCCGTATTTATTCCGATTGTTTATGTGAAATGAAAATTAAATTGATAAAGTATGAAAGTTATATATGAAATCAATTTGAGTTATTAATTTCTTTTTTTAAATAAATTTTAAATTGATAAGAATAAATTTATAATATTGTTAATCACTGTAGTGATGTTGTTGATAATGATGATGAAAGGTTAGTGTAAATCTAACAACTTCATCACATATTCACAATTAGGAGACTTGGGAGGTAAGTAAATCTACTACCACTATCCCAGTTTTAATTGGGTTATGTCTTGAACGGTTAGCGAGTGTACTCTATATACAATTGATTAAATTTTAATTTTTAAGATTAGACTATAAGAAATAAATTTTTTATGAATTTTCTAATCTCAATATAGATAGTCTACTTTTGATCGGAACAAGAAAGAAATTAATTGAATTGTGCGTAAGCTGGTCCAAACGCCCTACCGTTAAAATAATAATAATAATAAAAATATTGAGTATGTCCATTTCTGTAGCACCCCCATAATCCTATAATAAGAATTCGTTTGATTTAGTTTTAGAATTATAATTTGAACGTGGAGTTATATTTTGAGTTTTAAGTTTTTTGAATCATGATTTGAAAAGAAAAATTTATTTGGTTATGCACTTTAAAAATAATTTTGAAATAATTTGTAATTTTTTTATTTTTTTTAATTAATTGATATATAATGTATGAGAGAAGAAAAGAGAGATAAAAGAAAAAAAGTGATTGATTAATTAGTTAATTAATAATAATAATAATAATAATAACAAAAGAGAAAAGAAGAATTTTAAAAATATATTTAAATAATATATTATGTCTAAACTATAATTTAAAAATAGGGTTGAATTTTACAAAATAAACCAAACGGTACATAAGTCTCTCCCATAATTGATGCAGAGAAAGAGAGAGAGCTACATTCTCCTTGGGATCTGGTCTAGACGTAGTAGCTGGAATCTAAGATATGTAGTATAGCTTAAAACAATTATTAATTTATTATTATGAGAGAGAGAGCCGCATGTTAACACTTGGGGGCGTGCTTCTCTGACTCTTCGTTGAGTGCGCAGAATACAAATAGAGAGGTCCAGAGAGGGGCAAATGACCCATGGCCCTCCCCACTTCCTTCCTTAGGTACGTTTGTTTTTCGCACTAATATCCAGATTGGTAATATAAATAGTAAAATTAGCTTATATTTATTCTGGTTTTTGAATTTTAGATTTATATAGTCTTTTTAATTTAGGGCAAATTATATATATACCTCCCTCGAGATTTAATTAATTTACCGATACTCTCCTGAGATTTCGAAAATTACATCCCGCCCTCCGAAGTTTGTATTTTCATAACAATTTGCCCTCTGAGGTTTATATTTCATAACAAATTATCCCATAATTTCTTATGTAAATATAGCATTCAGGGAGGAATTTGTAATTTCTCAAACTTCAAGGGGGTATTTGTAAATTAGCCAAACCTCAAGGGGGTATATGTAATTTGCCCTTTAATTTAGGATAGTTGTTGGATAACGAATTAGTAGTCTGAATTGAGAGGTGATATTAGAAATTAGTCTATTCGAATTGGGTGTTACTGGTCATCAGCCTAGAAATCCGGCCGGTCAACTGTAAAAAAAAATTTATTTGTTGGGCATTTTTTTTAAACATTAATGTTTAATGTTTTTATATTTTTTGTTAAGTAAAAATTATAATTTTATTTGTTTTATTATTTTATATTTATTTTATTATTTTATATTTATTTTATATAAAAATAATTTAACAATCCTCACACTAACGACTATAATCAAAACAAACAATCTCCTTACTATCAATCCCCTCACTATTAATCCCTTCACTATCAATCCCTTCCATTTTAACTCTAAAAACAAACGGGACCTTACTTCATTATGGCCGCGCTTGTTTGGCGGAGTAGATTGGATGAGATTGTTAGTGAAAGGTAAAGAATATTCAAAGCAGATCATCTTATTCAATCTCAATCACAGTGTCTATAAAGATCACATACAGTATTTATAGTCAGATGCACTTTAGCTAACTGTAGTTGTAATTGACTATGGTTCTAACAACTTTACAACTGCTATAGTTAATGCTAACTAGTCTAACAGACTTTGACTAATCTAACTGACTTCAATGTTGTATCTATAAGTCGAAGCAGATGAGTTGGATTGGTACTGTTGCAACTGCTTCGGTAGCAACTGAGGCTGCTTATCATTCCCCGTCAAGTTGACAGGAGAAGAATGATCCAGAAGCTTGTGTTGAAGAAAATGGAACCAAGAAACAGAAAGGGGTTTGGTGAGAATATTCGCAATCCGGTCAGTAGTAGCAAGATGTTTAATAATCAATTATTTGGAAGCAACACGTTCACGGACAAAATGATAGTCCACTTCAATATGCTTAGACCGAACATAGAAAACAGGGTTACTAGACAAGGCAATAGCAAAGAGATTGTCACACCATAGAGTAGGTGGGACAAGAGGAATGTGAAGATCCTGAAGAAGCATGCCGAGCCAGCTAAGCTCGGCAGAAGTCTGAGCAAGAGCACGATACTCAGCTTCAGTGGAGGAGCGAGAAACAGTAGGTTGTTTCTTCGCAGACCAAGAAACCAAGTTGGGACCAAGAAAAATACAGAACCTAGTGGTTGACCTACGATCAATGACATTCCCAGCCCAGTCGGAATCAGAATAGGCAGTGAGAACAAGAGGGCCTGGCTGAAACTGAAGACCCTTATCTAGAGTACCCTTCAGATAACGCAATAAGAGTTTGACAACATTAACATGACTGACCAAAAGAGCATGCATAAAGTGACAGGCGGAGTTGACAGCAAAAGCAATGTCGGGGCGAGTAATCGTCAGATATTGAAGAGCCCCAACGATGCTGCCATACAAAGCAGGCTGAGCAAAAGGAAGATCAAAGTTTGGGAAGCTGGAGGATTTAGTAGCTATGGGAGAGGCATAGGGCTTGCAATTGGACATACCAGCTTTGGTTAATATCTTAGTAGCATACTTAGATTGATGCAAAAAGAAACCAGCAACAGATGTGTGAATAGAGATGCCCAAGAAATAATTAAGAAGACCTAACTCTTTCATAGAAAAGACTTTATGCATTTGAACAAACAAGGAGGTAATATAAGTCAGCAAAATGTCATCAACATATATGAGGAGAATGATGATGGAAGATGCAGTATTCTTAATAAATAAAGAAGAGTCACAATGACTAGTAAGGAAACCATTAGACAAGAGGAAAATGGAGAATGTAGAGAACCATGCCCAGGGGGCTTGCTTAAGCCTATATAAAGCCTTATGAAGTTTACAGACCTGATGAGGATGAGAAGAATTAATAAAACTTGAGGGCTGAGTCCTGTAGACCTCCTCATGAAGTACACCATGTAAGAAAGCATTAGATACATCCAATTGTTTGATAGACCAACCAAAATGAAGAGCAAAACACAACAAAATCCGGATAGTGGGCTGCTTTGCAACAGGACTAAAAGTTTCTTGATAATCAATACCCTCTTCCTAGAGATAGCCTTTAGCCGCTAACCATGCTTTATAATGAGCAATAGAACAATCAGAGTTTTTTTCCAACCGATAAATCCACTTACAGCCACTGACATTCTTGTTGGGAGGAAGATCAACCGAGGAAGATCAACCAAGGACCAAGTGTGTTGGAGTTGAAGGGCCTGAAATTCTTCATGCATAGCCTGAGTCCAATCTGGAGATTGAGAGGCTTCTTTATAAGAAGAAGGTTCAGTGGGAACATGAGTCATATGAGCAGTAGGAGAAAAATAAGTGGACTTGGACCTTGTGACCATAGAATGAGTGTTGGAGCTGAGGAAAGGAGGAAGATGAGTAGAAACTGGAGCAGAGAGAGGTAAGTTAATAGAAATAGAAGAAATAAGAATGGGAGG